CAGTTGGCAAACTAGAGACCCATGAGAGCTCATATGCTGTTACAGTCCAAATAAAGTTTGGAGTTTAGTTAACCATAATGTACCAATGCCAGTTTCTTATTTTTGCCCCTAGAAATTTAAGATGTAAAATACAATTGACTTTAAATTAAAAAACAAAAACAAAAAACACACTCCCACACACTTTACAAGGTTATTCTTTAAAAACCCTTGTCACCCGATTTTATTCTCTGTCAGTCTCTTGGTTGCATTTTGCATCATCTAATGGCCATCTTGTGGCATTTCAAAGAAGTCCTGCTACCATTTTTGAACCCCAGTGCTCTTTACTCCTTTGAAATACCAATATAATTATATCATCAAGTTTCATAACACTTTTTTAAAAGGCCCATAAAATTCCATTTCCTAGTGGAGATAGGGTAATCTTTTTTAATAGGAAGAAATGAATAGATTTGTCATAAATTATTACTATACATTAGGCTGGATATTTCCATATCAATTTTTAAAAATTAAATATAACACTGGGAGAAAACTAGGACTGAAGCTCTAGAATTATCTTTATGCTCTAAAAGCAATTAGTTACTTTGCAATTAAAGCTACCATGTCAAGTGAACGTGTAATTGATAAGCCCCCGTCCACTGTACCTTTGATTTGCAATAATAAGTACCTTCTAACATGGGAATCTAAGGACCCACAGTCAGAATGCTAAGGACTCAAGTTCAACCAAGAATGAAGAAGACTGAACTTTTATTACCAGATGATGTTCCAGAGAAAGAAGTCATTATGGTCTCCATTTCACCAACCTATTTGTATTTAAAAGCAGGTTTCCAAAAATAACCGATTTTTCAGTTTTAATGAATTTCCTAATTTTATTCAGTTGAGCCATACTCATAAACAGAATTTAACAGAGAAATCCCAAAGTTCCCTCTCTTTACTTTTTATTGAGAAGGTTGAGTGAATGTAATACGGCGCCGCCGCCTTTGGAAAGCCTTTAAATTCCATCTGTTTGGTTCCAGCATATGAGGACCATTGTACACAAACAATACCGTCATCTTTTCAGAATAAGGAAGATTTTGTAGGAGCTGTAAGTATTAAAACAGACAAACTGTCACATAATGCTATAAATTGAGAAGCACAGTTTTCCAACCTTACATGTGTACAAATATATTATTTTATTTACAATATAAATAAAACTCTTATGAAGGTCTCAAACATCTCCATATAACCTTGTCAGACTTACCTAAATTAGCATACCTGAATCCTGGCCTAAGAAATAATTGAAATGTCTAGGAGCCCTCTATATTCATAGGACAATTGGAATTATACAACTTCCTAGAAGACCTTGGAGAAGAGTAGGTACTCCATAATTTTCCTCGGATACATTCACACTTTATCCACAAACATTTCTCAAGCAACTTCTACAGTCAGGTACTGTGACAGACTGGTAGCCTGAAAAGTATGTTCACAGGAGGGTTTGGTTTATAGGCCACAGTTTTTCGTAAGTAATAGGATATTAACATATGTGGCTATTCCTTAGAGTATTTGCTGAAAAAAGATACTATTTAATAAAAATATGAATGTAGAATGGGCTCTCTAACAACATTTGTTGTGAATAATTGAAAAAGGGGAAAAATCTGATTACATTAAAAACATTTGAGTATGTCCATTGTTTTAGGTTATTAAATATGAAATGTCCAAGTTCCTTAGGTACTAAGTTTGACAGTTACTATCTCTGACATTTCACTTTGACACTTCTTGCTTAATTTTTATTGTGAAGTACACCCTTAGTCTTTCAAACACATGGTTTGGCTTGTGATTATCTTTCAATTTATTTTTAGAGCAATTTTTATGAAACCATGGGAAACCATGGGAAATTTTTATGAAACCATGGGAAAGTCAAAAATTCGACTTATTTTTGAATATGAGTTCCATCATGGAACCATTGCAGCAAAGACGGCTCAAAATATCAATGAAGTGTTTGGGATGGATGTGGCTAATGAATGCACAGTACGTCAATGATTTGAAAAGTTCTGTTCTGGTAACTTTAATCTTGAAAATGAGCCACGTAGGTGACCTGAGACCAGGTGGATAATGATGAGCTGAAAGCTGTAGTGGAAGTGAATCCATCATAACCTACGTGTTAATCAGCAGCAAGGTTTGACATTACCATTCCAACAACACTGGACCATTTGAAACAAATCAACAAGGTAAAGAAACTGAATAGATGGGTTCTGCATGAATTAAACAAGTGTCAGCAGAGAAATCATCTTGGAGCTTGCCTTTCTTTGCTGCCATGACAAAAAGGTGAACCATTTCTACACTGTATTGTAACGTGTGATGAAAAATGGATTCTTTTTGACCATCACAAGCGCTGGGCACGATGGCTGGATAAAGATGAAGTACCGAAACACAGTCCAAAACCCAATATTCATCAAAAAAAACTAATGGTGTCTGTTTAGTGGTCTAGTACTGATATTATCCACTACAGTTTTATGAAACCTGGTCAATTGATTACAGCAGATGTCTACTGCAACCAACTGGATGAAATGATGAGGATGCTTGTGACTAAGCAGCCTAGACTGGTCAATGGAGACAGGCCAATCCTCTTGCAAGACAACACTCAACCACATGTCTCATAAACAACTCTGCTCAAACTACAGAGGCTGGACTTGGAAATTCTGTGTCATCTACCATATTCACCAGACCTGGCTCAACTGACTACCAGTTTTTTCAGGCTTTGGACCACTTCTTGCCAGGAAAAATATTCAATCCTTAACAAGTTGTGGAAAACACCTTTCACGATTTCATTGCCACTCGCTCTCCAGGCTTCTTCGCTGCTGGTATAAACAAGCTACTGTTAAGATGGCAAAACGGTGTCGATAGTTTAGGCGCATACTTTGATTAATTGTACTGTTTCTTGTTTGAGACATAATAACACTTTTAATTCGAAATCGGACACTTCATATTTAATGACCTAATATAATTTACACACAGCGCTAGATTTAACAAAAGAAAATTTCCTGTTGCAATAGTTCTAGATTATGGCAAATTCTCTATAAAGATAATTCTGTTTTTATCAAGGTTAATCTGTGAGTAGGAGATGCTGGGATGCTTATAATTTCCTTTCAGCCAGGGCAGTGGTAGTGGTAAAAAGGGAAGAAGGGTAGTATATAACAAGAGAGGCCTTTCTTGGAAAATGGAGAGGGCCAGAGTTCTAGGGTTTGCATTCACCAGTCATCTTTTAGTGCTAAAAGAGTAACTTTTTAAGAAGAGGAATGAGTGCCAAAAGCAGGAAGAAGTTTTGGTTCTAGAACATAATGATATGCCTCCTACATTGTTTCCTCTGGTAATGAGGTTTCTGATTAGTATGTCACCGGAACTTGTCCCTTTTACTAATGTAAATATTACTATTATCTTTTTAGTTTCCTTTTTGGGAGTATTCCTGTTCATATTTACATACTAGACCAAAATCTACTATATGATTAGGCCACAGGGGACTTCTGAGTATCACCTACCTTTGGGGTAATGAAGAAGTATTGAGATGTGTTTTCCTTACAGGCAGTATTTACAACCATTTCAAACACTCTCCGTTCATTGATTGGGTCCATTCCCTAAACAACGACAATAATAATGACTATGTTTGTATCTATTACAGGATATAATAAGATCCGAGTAAAAGAATAATCACAATACCTGATTGATTTCATCAACTACTCTGAATGGACATCTATTAAGCTCCTGAAGTGCCATCAAGTATAACATGGTAGAAACACTTCTTTCACCTCCACTTTGATGATGAGGAGTTAATTCATGCAGCTGAGTACTACTACGAAATTTGACTCTAATTCGAATTCCATATTTATCATAATCTTCCTGTAAAACATTTAAAAAGTTGATGAAAGATGACATTTTCCTCTGGCAATTTCATTCTGCATTTGGAAATAGACTGGATTAAGTAAGTAAGAATGAAGAACTTAAAATTTAGTGACACTAGTTTAAAAGTAAAGCATGCACACTGACAACCAACCATGAGATGAGGAATAAAAAAAAAAAGTAAAACAGTGAATATTAAGCAAACAGTTATCTAAAAGATTTAAGGGTCTCCAAGGATCTATTCAGACAAGGGCAATATTCATATCACATTAACTTTTTCCTACTCTGTATTATTCTTTGCAACTAAGTGAGCAGCCCTGTCATGAAAAGGCACTATCTATTTTAGTTCTAATTGCTAGGTTTTCAAACTATAAGTGAAAATAATTAAAATAATTAGAACATAATGGAGTGTCATGCCATTTTCTAGAGAAGAAGCTCTGCATGCCACTACAAAGGGCCGCAAGTCCTTCCCACTTCTTCAGTTGGTTAAGGATGAAAAAAACAGGCAGAAATTATATGCATACTTTGAAAAATTATTAATATTAAGTCACACTCACACACTACTCAGCAAAAAGCCTGGCACATAATAGGTATTCAATAAATATTTGTTGTAATGAGTGCATTCAGTGTTTTGTAAATTTTGCCAAAACTGAGGCTGCTCTAAGGTTTGTTTACTACTCTTTTCAATGTCATTTCTAAGTCCGTCAGGTTCTGATTTACCTTAAAAATGAGATACATAACTTACTAATTAAAGGTTATTTAATGCATAGAGCTTTAAGGTAGTGGTCAAGAGAAAGATATAATGCAAGCCATGTAGGTAAATTTTAAATTTTCTAGTAGTGACATTAAAAAAAGTAAAAAGAAATAGATGAAATTAATTTTAACACACTGACTGCCACAAGAGAAAAAAAGAATTTTCCTTGAGGCCATGGTGTTTTATTATAAAAATAAAATAAAAACTTTGAAAACAAAACAACCCTTTCTAATTTAAAGAAAAATTTGTTATTGTTTTCTGTGCGTGAGTTATATGCAACTTGAAAAACAGTTCACACAGTGTGTGAGTTACATATGCTTCATGAGGCCCTGGGCTCAAAACTAGCATGAGTTAAATACAACTCACATGGCAGTTAATGTGTTAGTAATATATTTTATTTAATCCAGTATATACAACATATCATTTTTACATGTACTCACAATATACACTTTTTCTTTTTTAAAAAATTTATAAAGATGGGGTCTTGCTATGTTGCCCATGCTGGCGTGCAGTGGCTATTCACAGGCACAGTCCCAGTACTGATCAGCATGGGAGTTTGGACCTGCTGGTCCCCGGCTCCTGGCAGGTTACCATATCGATGCCATAAGTTAGTGTGAACACCCAATCAGCAAAGTGCACTGCAGCCCAGAACTTCCAGGCTCAAGTGGTCCTCCCACCTTAGCCTCCCAAGTTGCTGGGACTACAGGCACATGCCACCATGTCTGGCTAAATTTAAAAAAAAAAAAAAAAAAAAAAATTGTTTTTAGACAGAGTCTCACTATGTTGCCCAGGCTGGTCTAGAACTCTAGGGCTCAAGTGATCCTTCCATCTCAGCCTCCTGAGTAGCTGGGATTACAGGCACGAGCCACCACACCTGGCCACAATAATTTTATTAACTATGTCATTTCTTAACTATACCAGCTTTGATTACTAGAGTTTTATTTTTGGCTCTGACACCCCATTCTTTGTTCTTTCTGCCCCATTCTAGCTTATTCCATTTCACTGAAGGATCTGGCTAACGAAGGCAGTTCCAGAACCATGCCTGGGGAGGACAGAATCCAAGCATTCCAAAAGGAAGGCTAAGAAGAGATAAAATGTCCATTTCCCAGGAGCCCAAGGCTAGGCACAATTACACGCACAGGTTAAGGAGAATCATCTCTACGGTACTACAGTTACCATTCAAAACACGGAAGAGCTATCCAGAAGAAACAGCATATGATAAAGTTATAGTACCATGCAACAGGATCTAGATTAAAGAATGGGATTTCTATGACAGGTCAAGCTCCATAGGCTTTGCCATGCTTACTTGACCATATTTATGTCTTATCTGGTTAAGGTGTTTGATAAAGACATCATAGCTACTTTCAGACTGATGAAGCTTCCAGTAATCAAATTTATTTGAGAGCTTAGGTTCTAGGATCAGGTCTGGAGTTTGATTCTTTGCTTTGCCAATTGGAAGCTGTGTAATTTTCAGAAAAGTTATCTTAAGTTTTAGTTTATTTATAAAATAGGGGCAATAAAAGTACCTGCTTCATAAAACAGTTGTAAGAATTAAACAAGATAAACTTAAGAGGGCATGGCAGTGTCTGGCACAACGGAAATACATTAGAAATTATTATTGTTAATAATAATTCTAACAAGCCCAAAGATTATGTAGATGACAATTACTGTGGTAGGGCCTTAGATCTAGAACTTAAAAGTGAAATGATATTCCACACTTATGCTTCACACTAAGCAGATGAAGGAGTCATGGGGCAAAACTCCTAAGAGGAGAAAATGGTGTGATCATGCTTTATATTTATGTGACATATATCAAACTGCATATATGCTAAAATGCAAAATTGTTGGGTTGCTTTGTTTCTTACTAAAAAATTTTTACTATGGAAAATTTTCAACATATACAAAATGACAGGGAACAGTAAAAATGAGTTCAATGTACTATCAACTAGCCTCAAACTATGATCAATAAATGGCCAATCTTGCTTCATTTATAATCCCATCCACTCCCCTTTCTCAATTATTTTTAAGCAAATCCCATTTTATCTCTTTACATGTTTCTTAATGGAAAATTAATTTTATCCCAAATTGCAATGTGCAAATTTACAGCTTAAGAAATTGGACCAGGTGTGGTGGCTCAGATCCATAACCTCGGCACTTTGGGAGGACAGGGGAGGAGGACTGCTTGAGGCCAGGATTTTGAGACCAACCTGGGCAATACAGTGAGACCCCTGTCTCTACAAAAAATAAAATAAAAACTAAAATTAACTGGGCATGGTGGCGCATGCCTGTAGTCCCAGCTACTTAGGAGGCTGAGGCAAGAGGATCCCTTGAGCCCAGGAGTTTGAGGTTGCAGTGAGATATGATGATGCCACTGCACTCTAGCCTGGGCAAAAGAGTGAGATGCTGTCTCAAAAAAAAAAAAAAAAGAGAAATTAGTAGCGAATTTCCCAACATTTCCACTCTCATGAACTCTTAAATTCTTGATCAAAAAGAAATCATTGATATATACTATATTTCAATAATATTTGCTAATTTGTTTATGACTTTTCTAATTTGGGCAGTGGTAGATTTATAAATCAATGCATTTATTCAACACAGCTTAATAACCATGACTCAGCTTGGATATAAAGAGTTATCTCAAACATCACTCCCAAAAAAAGTGACCCTAAAATAATTTTTTGGAGGGATGGGGCAAGATGGCTGACTAGAGACATCAACTGACAGATTGTCTCAGAAAGAAAGAAAAGTTTTAGAAGGAAAAAAACATAGCTCAGTTGTAATTCTGAGGGAAACATGCCAGAACCTATCAAAGGTTCCACAGGGAAGAAGTTGTAGAGCAGAACAAGGAGCAAGATTTCAGCACAGATCAACCCCTGAGAAACTTGGAGCCCTTGGAGAGAGTAGGTGGAGGTTTTGTTTCTCTTCCCCTCACATCTCTGGCAGACTGCAGGCTCTCAAGCTACTGGAGAGCTTTTCTACCCTCGTGAGCCTAAAAGCTGCTGCTTCCAGTGAACTGGGAGCTTCTTGAGAACAAAGGACCAGGCTGCCAGCCCCCTTGGGATAGTTTACCCTCACCACAGACTCAAGCCGAGGTAGGAGGTGCCATGCTGCTTCTCCACCCATTATGTACCTTTGTCCTCCCAGGAAGCTTTAGCCCTTCAGTTTTTGTGTCACTGGACCCCACACAAACATTTCTCAACTCCTGCCCAGGCTATGGTGGCCACAGGGGGCTGCTGGGTCCCGGGAAAACTGTGCGATCCCAGAGCGCCAGCTGTCCTCCATTCAGACTTTTCTCCTCCTCCTCCTTCACCCACTGCTGCCGAGTGGCAGTTCCCATGTGAGTTGGCATGGGTGCCCCAAGGGAGGATTGAGCCAGGGCTCTCAGGAGCAGCTGCTTCCCCTCTGGTGGCACGTCCACCACTCTGAGGCTTCCACAGAGAGTGGGGCTCATGTCTTAACTCTTAAAGAGCAGCAGCGGACCAAGGGGTGCACGAACTGTGGGCTCCCTGTCTGCTGGCCCTTCCCCGTGTTGCTTGCTTGGCTGCTCCTGCACAGCAGGGCATACCCCGAAGTGAGGGACATTAAATCTTCTTAAGCACTTAACAGAACTCAGGACCACCATGCTTCCCCTTGGCATGGTCAGCAATTGAACCTGGAGAATGAGGGAACAGGCCTGCAGGCTGGATCCCATACCCCCAGGACTCAATTATGTCACTCAGGGGGGAGGGGAGATTTGTGAACTCATCTTGGTAGGCTAGGGAGCCCATGTGGGCAGAACTAAAAGGAGAGTGCAGTGTGGGTCTGAGCTACAGCACACTCATGGAGCTGAAGTACCCCTCCCTGAACAGGAAAGCCACGCTTTCGCCTGAGGCAAGAGCCTGGGCAGGGAAGCTCCCAGTCTGTGGCATCACTGCTGGTGAGCTCGGCTAGTTGGGGTGGCTGCCTGTGGACAGATGTTGGAAGGAGATCTGCGGGGCAAGGGAAGAGGGAGAAGAGTGAAACCCCACTCCCAACAGCCAGACTGTGAATCCCAGATGGCCCCACGCCCACAAGCAGACTTTCTGGCTTGGTGGGGCCACTTCAGCCCCTCCCTGGGGGCTGTACCCAGCGGCCTGGGAGCCGACCCTCAGCCTGGCAAAGACAGATCTTGTGCCTGCCTTTGCGGAGCCTGAACACAGGCTTGTCTAACCTAGCCCCACTCAGCCTTGCTCCTCCACCCACCTCTGCTGTCGTGGAGAATAAGTCC